TACCAATTTTAGGCTTGGCTCATGTGCTATAATTGTGTTGCCTTCTGTTAAAGAGGCAAAGTTCAGCAGTGCCCAAAAGAACAGGACAGAAAAATGTTAGGGGTGATCTATACAACAGCCCTTCCTTCTTCCTCTGACACCTGCTGTTGGGCCATAGCACAGATCAGCTTGACTTGGGTTTCAGCTACTGGGCTCAGGACACCTGGAGAGACCATACATAATATCAAATGCTCCTTGCCAGCTCTTTAATCCAAATCTTTAAGAGTCCACAGTTCCCTACAATTTGCAAATACCATACTAACCTTGGGGAGAAGAGAACATTCTATTTTTTAAATGCTCATTGAAACTATTAACAGCAGCAATTGAAACAAATTGCTGTATCTGCTTATAGAAATGAGAGGGGAAGGGAGAACACTACTTTCTTTTGAGGGAGAATTGAGTAGGTCAATGGCTGTGACTATTCTCTCAATAACCACTAACAAAAGACCAGTTTTGGTGGTTAGGGAATAGTGGCTATTCATTGAATCTCAGAGTAATTGCACTTACCCCAAGCTGTGCTGAGAGAACCAAGCTATGTGGCCTGCCAGGTAACACATCTCAGCTTCCGTAGAAAAGAAAACAGACAAAAACCAAGCAATTCCACACGCTTATTTACAAAAAGGCATGCATTTTACCTGTTTGCTACCAAAACAGCAGAAATAAAAACCAACTACAAGATGATTACGAATGTGCTTGATTTGATTTGCAATGTTCACTTGCTTAGCTTAAAATCTCCAAACTGGGTTGTCTGTTTTACTCTCTGGTTTTAAAAACCGAGGGCCTCAGACTACCAATAACTGTTTCTAGTTAACTACACATGATCAAGGACTCCAGAAAGCAGCAGAATTATATTTGCACCATGAAGTATTATGGCCTTTTAAATGGAACCCTGCCACCCAAGCAAGAATTTCAGCATTTTTAATCAGCAAGATTCTAGGCCTTATGGATATTATACATGGTCAGGATAAAACAATCAAACCACATATTACAAATTCAGACAAAAAGACAACTGAATTTTGCAATGTGTAAAATAAACAAATTAAATAATCCATTAGTAATCTTTTATATGTTTTTATTGCAGAGAATTTTGATATTTTGGTTGAAAATCAGGGATCAATTTTCAAGTATGGGGTTCCAGATAGCCTGAGCAAAAGGTTAGACACTCCAGGTAGATAATGATCAACTCATTCACAAAGCAGTTAGAGCTTCATTATGTTCGGACATTTATTATCCAATGCACTGGTCACCTGGTCAACAAATTGTTGTAAAAATAGATATTAATACTGATAAGAAATATGAGGGTAAGCCATATTTCCATTCTGCCAAATTTAGTGTTCTGTGAAACCTGATATACTGCATTGGCAGAAGGTGATCCAAGAAATAAATCATTCATTTATCTGTATCTTTTGTTCTCTGGATCTAACATATCAACAATTGTCTATCAATTTAAAAAGCACTCCAACTTTGGTGTGTTATTTATTTGGTGTGTTATTTATTATTTATTGTGCCTGGGTATTCCATAGTGACTAACATATACTATTTTGTTTTTTAACAAACAAGAGGCCTGCCTGAACTGGCAAGCTGTGGAACTGAAAAGTTGGATGGGATACACATTTAAAATAAAACATTACAAATGGTTTAAAACAAATTTCAATTCCAAAGGAGGGTGGTGGGGCCTATAAATATAATCATCATCATTTTATTTGTATACTGTCTTTCCATAGTTAAAACCATGCTCAATACAGCATGAATAGATGGGCATGATTATAAAATTGTCATAAACAATAAATAAAAAACACAGAATCATAGAATTGGAAGATATCTCAAGGATCATCTAGTCCAACCACATGCAATGCAGGAATCTCAGCTAAAGCATCCATGACAGATGACCAACCAACCTCTACTTAAAAACCTCCAAAGAAGGAGAGTCCACAACCTCCAAAGGGAGACTGTTCCACTCTTTCTTCCCGTCAGAAAGCTTTTCCTGAAGCTTACTCCTGGTTCTCGCCTTTGCTGCTGTGCTTTATTTTTGCAGCAAACAATGTGTGTGCCCTTCCTGATCCTTCAGGGGCACAGATTCTCCTTTTAAGTCTCCCACCCTTCAATGCTTCTTTATTTGAGGGACTAGAAGAAGGATTTTCTACCAAAAAAAAGAAAGCAGCTGAAAGCAAAGGGGGCTGAGGCGTATATAAGCACAAGAGCGCAAGAGGAAAGTGTCAATTAAAAAAATGAAGCCCACTGCATTCGGTGCCTGACAGTTGGGGTGAGCTGAGCTGACAGCCATTGCATCAGCCAGCTTTGGTGGCTCCTTCGTCTCTCATGGTCCCCTGAGCTGGAAACCTGCGACCATGGCTTGAGCGGACCCTCGCACGTTTCATTTGGTGTTGCAGTGGTTCCCCTGCAGCTATGTCTAATAATGGTAATTATAATGATTTGAGGCTTAAGAAGTCCAAATTGAGCCTGGAGGCAGATTGTAATGAAGCAGTCAGGATACCGGGGGGGGGGGGAGTGTCTAGTGAAGCTGGAGCCTGCTCTGCCTCTCACCAAGGGACCAGCAAAGAGACCACAAAGCTGAGAAAGTGGGCTACGTTTTGAAGGAAGTGGATCACCGGTGGGCACTATGGTACAACCAACAGGACATCAGTCCAGCGGTACATGAAGCAGCTTGTGTGAAATGGCAGGGTGTTGCTGCTGTTCTTTTGAATATGACAAGTGTCATGAATGACTAGACCACCACTCCTCTCTCTCAAGCAGTATCTCCCTAACTACTTATCTGCCTTCAAATTTTAATCTCACTTTTATTTTCAAATGTTAGTCCAGAGCTATTTAGAATAAGCACAAATACTAAAAAAAACCAACCACCATAGATCTCTCTCTCTCTCTCTGATTTATATAGTTCTGATGTAGTTCAAATGTAGTCGCTGAGCATATGTGGAACCAAACAGGACGGTCTTTGTCATTCAAAAAGGGGAGGAAAGAACCTACATGGTTTGGGCATTCAAAATAGTCCCGCACATATGAATCTTCCCCAAAATGAGTCAGTCCATCTAGCTTCAGTATTGTCTGACTGGCAAGTGGCATTCCAAGCTCTCAAGCAAGAATAATAAAATAATTTCAAAACATTTTCTTCTGAGCTACGGTCTCTCCTCATGCAGATTATCACATTTTCTGACTTGTTTTCCTGACTGCCACTGGCCCCTCCCCAACCCCAGGCTGATGTAGAGCTCTCACAGTCCTAAAGGTAAAGGTAAAGGGACCCCTGACCGTTAAGTCCCGTCGTGTACCCAAGTACTGATATCTAAGGCACATATGTATATTGTGAAGGCTTCCTTGTGGAAATTTATGGTGCAATAAATCAGGCACAAAAGTGCACAGCACTCTTTGTCTTCTTGCTTACATCATGGGTCCCTGGGAACAATCTCATTACTACTGATAGACATCTCTCCAGTTCCAAACCTGGCTGAGGGATAGACAGGCAGTGTAGCAAACATGCACTGCTCTCAGTGTGTTAATGGTTGTGTGGTCCATGTCACTGCGGAAATGGCCTTAGGGGAAGACTTGATGGGTCTCTCAAGCCATCAGCATCTTTCTTGCCCTCCCCCCTTCGTCCTGCTTTCCCTTCCCCAGCTCACTGCCCTTATTAAAGCCATTCATTCTGAAAGCTAAATGAATATGTTTCATTTTCAAATGCTGGAGAACACTTGCAAGGAAAACAGAGGCCAGATAGAACAATCCTAATTTAATCACGTCTTTTCCTCCCCCACCCTCTTTGTACACCCTGATTCTCCCCCGGCTAAGGCAGACAGATATCCCTCATCCAGCAGGAAGAGACAACATTGAATCTGTGCCTCTCGTACAGCTATGCATGTCTACACAGAAAACACTGCATATACAAATTGTTTTAACGCATTTATAGAAGAAGCAATTCCATCTCACGCATTATGCCCAGACAACAGGCAACCTCATGCCGGTGTTGTTGTGTCAGCAGAACAGAAAGCTGTTGCCAAGAGCAAGCGCCTCATCAGAAACTAGAGAGATCCTTTTCTCTCTCTCTCTCTCTCTCTCTCTCTTAAGTTATTAAAAAGCACCTGGGTTGCTCTGCTGTCATCCTCCTCCCATTGTCATCATTCTACAAGGAAGAAAGGAGTGGAAACAGAGGATGCACCCACCACATGTCCTGACTCGCTCTTTCGCAGACAGAAACAACTGGATCTTACTCAAGCCGACTCCTAGGGTAGCCTCTACAGTTCAAACAGCACAGCTCATGTTCTGACTAATGCATATTTATTACAGGTGCTCTCCAGTCTATTTTGAAGCGGCAATTACCCTGAGGTACCAGAAAAGGAATCTGCGTTGCATTTGCATGTTTTCCTCAGGGGGAGTAAATGACCCTAGGCTGAGTTAAGGCTAGCTGATTCTGAACGGAAGAATACAGGGTGCAAACCTAACATGCCAATTTGAAATAGGAAACACACCCCCACCCAAAAAAATTAAGCAGGGGTGGGAACGTGTGGCCGTTGGCCTAATTTTGAAAGAAAGCCCTTTGTAAGTGATTAGTTTTGACCTCTGGCCAAAGGAGGAGTGAGAGTGTGAGAAGGGTATGGCAGAAAGAAAGAGGCAAAAGGTGTGTCCCTGCTCACACTGGTCCTACCCACAGTCAGCATGCAGCCTCCAACAGATCACACACTCACATCTTCACATCTGCCCCGAGAATGCTGGTCTCAGTTGGAAAAAGATTTCCCATCCCTGGGCTAAGGGAAGTAGAAAATAGGCCTAGCCCCATTGAAAGGGTATATCCCAAGTGACATATTTGGAACTCCCTTTACTGAATGTAACTATGGGGATGGTGCACATTATGAGATATATTAATTACTACAAGAGTCTGTTCCATGCTTTTTCTGGCATGCACAGTTTAACTGTCCCTTTATATGCCCTCCTTGTTTTTTTGTGTTTGTTTTTTTCTGGTGTTGTTGCTTACTGAGGAAAGCAGGCTGTGGATGTGTCACTTTGGAAGGAAAGAATGCATTTGCAGGCGATCTCACACATTTCACTGCTCAGCAGCTTGCTTCCTCTTTGCTACAGAGCATCATTTGCAAGAAGAAGAAAAATCCACAGCAATGAAGAACAAATGTGGAAGCGAGAGAGAGGGAGGCCTGGAGAAATAAACAAGAGGCCGGAACTGGTTCATTTGTTAGAATGTTAAAATGTATCCTTGTGATGACAGAGAGACACTTGCCTTTTGCAGGCAGTCTGGAAATCAGACAAAAGACATGCAGTGGTACCCCTGGTTACAAACGCTTCTGGTTACAAGCGCTTCGGGTAGCGAACTCTGCTAACCTGGAAGTAGGTCTCCTGGTAGCGAACTTTGCCCCGGGATGTGAACGGAAATTGCATGCAGGAGACACTCGCGCAGTGGGAGGCGCCATTAGCGAAAGCGTGCCTCAGGATAAGAACGGTTTCGGGTTAAGAATGGACCTCTGGAACTAATTAAGTTTGTAACCAGAGGTACCACTGTACAGTCATACCTCAGGATAAATATGCTTCAGGATAAGTATTTTCGGGTTGCACTCCGTGGCGACCTGGAAGTAACGGAATGCGTTACTTCCGGGTTCTGCCGCTCGCGCATGCACAGACGGTCAAAATGACATCACATGCATGCGCGGAAGTGGCGAAACGCAACCCGTACATGCGCAGACGCGCTGTCACGTCTTGCATTCTATTCAGGATGCGAACGGGGCTCCGGAACGGATCCCGTTCGCATCCCGAGGTACCACTGTATATTGCTGGGGGCGGGGGCACTGAAGATCTGACCACACCAGCTCTCCACCTTGCAGCCCTTAGTTCGCAGCCTTCATGAGTAGAAGCAGGCTCCCCACTTATGGCAGTCACTCTCCAACTTGCGGAGAGGTGATGGGGGTGGCACCAGTGTGCCCATCCCTGTAGCCCCACCCCCCACCCCATGTGTTGTTTTTTCATAATGCCTGAATAGGGCTACTGCCCTCCTACGGAAAAAAATTTGCTTAAAGTCTCTATACGCCATTTTGGGTATACATTTGTGTATATGCAAACATAACAAAAACATGCTTGAAAACAAATGTATCCTACAGCTACCCTTATTACAAAGAGCTGGCTTTGGATCCCTGTTAAAGGCACAGCCCCAAGTTCATTGCTACGCAAAAGAAGAAAGCCCGAGGCCCAAGTGTCCCTTACTCAGTTCCTTGGCAGCGTGTTTAAGAGTCTGCCGTGTTGGCCAAGACATGTTGCTATTTGCCTTGCATCGTTTGGGGGGGGGGGAGTATATCTGGGACTGGGTTCTAAACGCCTGCCACTTCTTCTGCTGTTTGGACTGTTTCCATGGCTCTTCTCCTGCGGCCGCACGGCTTGTGGGGCTGGGGAAGGGGAGGGGGCTGTGCTTAAATGCTGAGGTCGCAGGACTGAGGGGCTCCTTCTTCCGGCCCCTGAAAAGCAAGGTGATGGCAGGCTGGCAGTGGTATGCTGCGTCGCCGCAACCATCCAGGCAAATAAAGAGCGACCTGCCAGGCCCACCCAGCCTGGTGCGCTTGTGTTCACTTATGTGGCAGGCTTCATAAGGCTCCGCTCTTTGACTGGCGTTGAGTTTATGTGAAAGTAATTAACAGTAATTAATCCTTAATTACAGTAATTAGCCAAGTCGCAGTAAATTAAACCACATCTGGAGCAGATGAGGGCTTCCGAAAGGGAGCCTAACGCAGGCGACAATCACGGAGATGCTGAATTCATCTGACAGCGTCTGATTAAGACTACCTGTTGCCTGCAGCCTCATTTGCATGTTGTTTTTGTTTGCTTTTCTTGGTAACCCTTTTAACTGCATTTGTACTGCAGACCCCTCTCCCTTGCCTTTAAAGAGAAAACGAAATTGCCCTGGGATGCCAGCAAAAGGAGCCACAAGTGTCACTAGATAAGGAATTGGAGCGGAGATTAGGGCTAGAAAAGGGGTTTTCAGGTTTTTCTGAGAAGGAAACGGGTTTTGCAGCACCATAGATTCCTAGAATCATAGAATTGTAGAGTTGGAAGGAACATCTAGTCCAACCCCCTACAATGCAGGAATCTCAGCTAAAGCACCCATGACAGATGTCCATCCAACCTCTGCTTAAAAATCTCCAAGGAAGGTGAGTCCACAACCTCCCAGGGGAAAACATTCCATTGTCAAACAGCTCTTACTGTCAGAAAGTTCTTATTGATGTTTAGTTGGAATCTCCTTTCTTGTAAGAGTTCTCCAACTACATATGGGGAAGATGTCAAAGCGCCTCCACATCAGAATCTTCACCACACGTACTGAGAACTATCAAAATGAATGGAAATGGACTTCAATTACCAGGAACTCTTGCAAAAAATTATTGCCCATTGCTTGCAGTTTTAATAGATGTTTCAAGGTATAGGTAACTTACATTTTTATTTAGGACTGCAAGCTTCACATCCAGTCCAAAGTATATTCATCCACACACAGAAAGTCACATTGGTTTCCATGAGCCTTGCTTCCAAAAATGTGTGCTTACAATATAATCTATACAACACACCCAATCCTAAACTCAGCAAATCCCTCTGGCTTCAATGCAGCTTATTCCCAAGTAAGCGTGCAAATGTAATCAATATATTGATTATCAATTGATGGAGCAAATTTTAAATGGCGAGTGAGGGGAACCCTTGTTCATTTTTGAAAGCATTTTGCCCTTGTTGGATTATTCTAATAGGAACCAAAAGAGAAAAAAATAGTGATTGCCATTTCTTCTAACAATAAGCAGCAGTGCTTGTTTATTTAGTTTTTACATTATATTGCACTTCTTTCTATATTGTGTCAAAAAAGCACCTGTATTGAGGCCATGGTTCACAGTTTATATGGGGATGCAAATCTCAACCGGCATCTCATGAAAGCTGACCTTTGAGCTTTTCCACAATTCCGCTTGTGCCATGCCTAGGAATCATGGAACCAAGCAGTTTTCTGCTTGGTCCACGCGATCTAGGCCCAGGTCCAAGCAGTTTTGCCCTTGCCCCACTGCTTTCCTAGGGGAAACACACTTTTTAACGATAGATTGGAACAAATTGCAGTCCAAGGGAAACCCAAATTACCATTTGCTCCAGTTGAGCACTAAAGAGTGGTTTTCCGCGGTTCAAAGCAGCAGGACAAGAGAAAGAGTAGCTAAGCCATTAATTGTGATCTTGAAAGGAATGTAGTGCATGCAGACAGGTTTCGCATTGCATATCTGAAGAGGCAGCCACATAATAATTTCAGTACAGATTGTCTCAGCACTCAATGCTGAGTGCAGACAGACCATTTGTACTTCGACATGCATTTGGAGGCACATGCCATTTACAAAGCAGGGGTGGCCAACTCTCAAGAGACTGCAATCTACTTTCAGAATTAAAAAAACTGGCAGTGATCTACCCCCGTTTTGGGGGGTTCAGCCCAGAGTTGTTGAGCTTTTCTTCTTTTTTTAGGGAGGAGAAAAGCCCCCTTTTTAGGGGTTTAAAAGAAGCTTTCGGGGGGGGGGGACTTCAGTTGGGGGGGGTAAAGGCAAGGGACAAAGGGGTAAAGTCACTCACAAAAAGGTCACTATAGATGAAAACAGCACCACAAAGAAAGCTCCATCTTCCCTTCCAGGGATAAAACAACAATGGAGGGCAGGGCGAGGGGGTGTGGCAGGAGTCAGTTTTAGCAACGCTAAGGAGAGGGAGCCAGAGATGAACCATGAAACACCTTGTGGTGATCTACCAGTAGATCGTGATCGACCTGCTGGATATCCCTGCTGTAGGGGAACAGAGCTGAACAGAAAATGAAGATCTAAGGGCATGCATTCTGCGGGGCTCATTTCAGCCTGACTCCACCACTAGTGCCTTCCATCTGCTTTAGCTGGTGACCCAGCTGAACCTCTGTAACCTCTGCAATGTGTTAAATGTGGGGCTGCCTTCAAAGAAGGCCAGAAACTTCAGCTGGTGCAGAATTTGGCAGCCAGGTTGCTCACTGGGGCAAAGTGGTTTGAGGATATTACACCGATCCTGGCCTGACTGCACTGGCTGCCAATTAGGTTCTGGGCCCCATTCAAAGTGCTGGTTTTTACCTATAAAGCCTTAGACAGAGCCGTAGAACCTCAAGGACCACTTCTCCCCATATGAACTGACCAAGACCCTGTGATCATCATCTGAGGCCTTTCTTTGAGTGCCTCCTCCATAAGAGGTCCAGAGGGCGGCAATGCAAGAATGGACCTGTTCTGTGGCTTGCGCTCCGCAAGGAGACTTGCCTGGTGCCTTTATTACACATCTTTAGATGTCAGGCAAAAATATTCTTCTTCTTTCAGGCCTTTGGCTAATTAAAAAATTAATCTGCCTTTTAAACATTGTGCGGAGGGTTTTTACTTGTGTTTGTTACTGCATTATGTATTTTTGTGTTTTTATACTGTAAGCTGGCCTGTGATCCTCGGGTGAAAAGTGGTATGTAAATTGCAAAACAGTAGCCCCTGTTACAACTTTAAAGGTCAGTTGCTGCAGGGGGCTCTCCTCTAGGCTAGCTGGCAGCTGGCACAAACTCCTCGTGCCTCTGTGGAGCTGGTAGGCCAAAGGACCCATAAGGAACTTGGGGGCTGAGATAGAGCTCAGCCAGCAACCCACCTTCCCATCCTTTAAACTGTGAGGGAGCAGAGCCTCTGCCGTTTAAAGGATCCTGCTGGGGGTACTGGGCCAAAGGAGATGCACTGACAGGCTCTCATCCTCCATGGCCAATGACCAGTCCCCACTGCATTTGGTTCAGGAGCTGAAAGGAAGAAAATGGGAAGCTGCTCGCATCCCTTTCAAACTAAGTGTCAACCTCTACCAGCTGCAGGCTCGTACCTGTGCTCTGTGCCCTGCTTTCTCCTGCCAATATTAACTGGGAGAAACATGTGCTGCCTCAGTCAAACTGTTTGTTTTTAGGGGTAGACTTTGAGAACCTTATGCATGCTGCCTTGAGTTCCTTGATGGAAGAAAGGCAGGATATGCTGTCTACTATTTTATGGAATTGTCTTCCAGTTGAGGCCGGACTGGACCCTTGACTGTTGAACTTGCTGTGCCTACTGAAGACTTTTCTTTTTTTATTTCAGCAGGCATTTAAACTGAATTCTTATATTACAGTTTAACTGATTCTTATCTTTCTTGTATTGAGTCACTTGGACGCTGCTTAGAGACAAATGTAATTAAGCAGTATATAAATTGTCAAAAGAAACATTAAATAAAAATAAAATTTGAAGTTAAAAATGTTACCATTCAAGCTGAGGGGCATCCTGCTCATATACACTTGCACAGATGCTTAGATCATCAGTTTAGTGCAGACAACACAGACTTGATGCTCATTAGAAGCATCTCATGTACTCAAAAAACATATCATGCAAGCGAAGCCAAAGTCAACTCTGTTTGGATCAAACATACCTTCAACAGATTAGCAGATTAAATAAAAGTATGTAAATGACAATTAAATAAATCTACATATTGCAAACTTGTGAAGATGCTCTCCGCACCCAGGATTTTGAAACTCATTTTAATATTTTTTTAGTTTATTGAAGAAAGTCCTAGAAGGAATGGATAGTTCTACCCACTTACCAAATCCAGAAATAGAGAGTATTATAGTAACATGATACAGCCAAAAGTACTGAATGCAATCCAGGTTTAATAGGTGCAGTTTACACTGATTTTCCACTGAGCAACATCACTTTGAATTGCCTTTGGTGTTGTCATCCTAAAAGGCAAACTATCTGCTAGCTTTGTACAGAAATGGAGGAAAAGCCATCATTGGGAGCCAGGTGAAAGAAGCTACCTTGCATCTCCCCACAACATTGCCTATATTTAATAAAGGGTTGCCATATTTAAAAAATATTTCAAAAAGTGAAAATCCAGACACAAAAGTGGCTGGGTTTTTTTTTTGGGGGGGGGCAAAATCTCAAAGAGAGAGAGGAGTTTTTCAGCTATTTTAAATGAAATTTTCCAAAATCTACACTTTCTACATGGGCTGCTATATGTCCAGATTTTCCAGGACATTTCAACAATTTCAGCCTGCGTGATGCTTACGAGGGCCAAATACCGACTATGTGTGGGAAGTTCACAATTTCTCTCTAAGTGTCCCACTTCCTGGCATGTACTGAATTGTTGTTGTTTTACTAGTAAAAGATAACCTCCAAATCAGCCAGTTTGCCCTTTAAAATGCCAGCTTCTGTGCTCTAATAAATTGAAAAACTAGAAAAACAGATTTGTGAAATCTAAATGTATGAACAAGCAATTTTTTTTAACGCAGCAAAGGAAAACACAGACTGTGGTTAATATTTTAAAAGCTGTATCAGAATGGGAAGTGTCAGCCAAAGAATCAGACAGAAAAAGCAGCAGGCCTGGTGGCAGCATAAATTCTTTGCATTCTAAAGCTTCAACCACTGGCATCGTAACTGAAAAAAGACCTCAGGTAGCTGGGCTGGCAGCCTGAGAGCTTAGAAGGCTGCTGCCAGTCAGAGACCATAGTGAAGGGCTAGATGGACCAACGGTCTGATTAATGCTGTGTGCGCGTGTGCACGCTGATGAAATCCAGAAGCCCCATCTCCTGAACAAACCCCCCCCCCCACCGTTGAGTGAAATCATGGCTTCCCTGAAGCCTTCTAAAAACAGCTGCCTGCAAACATTTCTCATAAATGTGGACCCTTTGAGGCTCAAAGATACACAACTGAAAATTAGGGGGCGAGATAAGAAATGCTTACGGCAGCTTAAACTTCTAGCCACTCTGCGGCGGCACCTGATATTAAACCACACTCACATTCTCTCTCTCTCTCTCTCTCTCTCTCTCCATAACATAAGCTTCTTTCGAGCTGAAGGCTCGAGCCCTCTCCTCATCTGCACAGCTCGAATTAATTATACACTTTAATTTCATGAATTATTAATTTGATTCTGACTCGGCAGCTTAGCATTATCCAGGGCTACAGACTATACAATTCCAGCTTCATTAAAACATCACCAGCTGCCTGGGAGACAGACATTAAATAGGGGAGGGTAATAAAAAAATTAAGCTCTCTGTGCATAGCAACAGAGTCTTCCTCAGTTGCACTCCAGTCTCTCATCAGACCCATTCAGATGATGGTGATGGAGATTAGTGCATTTCCAACACCTTGTTTTTCTCAGGGCAGTTGCCTTGCTTGGGAAGGGATGCTTTGCCCTCTTTCAGAGTCCTGGCCTCTGTTCAATCAGATAAAACATTCCAGCACATGTTGTCAAAGATCTTGATCCTCCCATTCAAAGCCTGCATGGGATATTCTCAAAATACACAGCCTCAGGAGCGCTAAGAATCCAGCACGCAGAAGGGTAAGCCCAGACATTGTGCTCCACGCACTGTGGAAAGATTGGAGATGATTGGTATATTGAATGCTAATCGTTTGCTGCAAGCTGTGGGCTGGTGACGGGGTGTCTATTCGGTAGCCTTGCAATCAAAAGATGCAATCATCTGCATGCATTATTGAAAGAAAACCCCACCACTCTTAGTAAGGTTTTATTCTTAAGCATGAAGATAGCAGAGTCTCCTGCCTATGTTTTGTGTGCTTTTGCTTGCGTTACTTACAATATTTGGATTTCTGCCTACTTAACCACAACAGCTGATTCCCGAGGGAGGGACCTCTGTGTGAAGGCATTTGCCTATATGCCATTAAGGGAGGCAGTGCAATTTAAGCACTCCTTCAGCTGCTAACCACACTAACCATTGTTAAGTGTGGCAGCTCTGGGGCTATGCAGAGGCTTACTCTAGTTGCGCCCAGTGCAGATGATGCAGGAGATATGTGGATCAGATCCACCTCAGAGACCAAGGAGCGCAGAATACGTCACGTGGGCACAACAAAGGGGGAGTGATGGGGGTTTGCTAAAGAAGTTAGCAAGGATGGAGGGGAAGGGGAAATCAGGAAGGGCCACATAAAACACTGACCTTATTTTACCTCTTTGCTGTTCTTCAGCTTACACAGATTCAAAAGACTGCTTGCACTGCCCCAGAGATAAGCCATTCTTCTGCCTGGCTAGGACAGAGCTGGATCAGGCCCAAGCCTCATCTAGTCGTGCTTCCTGTTCTAACAGTGGCTGACCAGATGGATATGGGAAGCCAGGAATCATGAGACGGGTGCAATGGCACTCTCCCAGTCGTGATCTTTAGGAACAGCTACCCAGAAGCATAGCACACTTATACTGGAGACATTACAGCCATTATTATAACCACTGATAGACTTATCCTGCATGTATTTGTGTAATCATACAAAATCAGCCCTTTTCACCATAATGCACTCTCAAAAAAAAAAAAAAAAAAGGTAACAGTAAAGTGTTGCCGCCCAAGCATCTCGCTGGCCATATAATTTATAGAATGAAAATGCTGGAATTTAGACATTCTATTTAAGCTGCTTCAAAAATCTAAGGACCTCAAACCTGGCGGGATTTGAAAATCGATGGAATTAACTAAGGGAGATGTCCACTAAGTAATCAGCAGGTACAGCAGACCTGAAATTCTATAAAGAAAAATGGAAAGAGATGACATTGAGGGAGGCAGTGGGGATTAAAAAATGAGCATCCGAGTGGTAAAGGCGCACATCCATTGA